TTACTGAACCAGGAAGCGGGTAACGGTCGCTATTTTTATTAGCTTGAAATGACAGGGTTTGAGTCAAGGATGTAATTCAAGGCTAAATGAATCACTTCATCTCCAGATGATACCAGTGACTGTGCAGGCAGAGCTTCGATGGGTGTGAAGGACATGGGATTATTTTGTGAGTGGAAAAGTCGATCGAATGTAGTACACGACTACAACTACACCAGTACACAGAATTAATGATTTACCCCGGGGTATTGTTTCTGTATATGTGCATCTGCAAATAAATGTTCACCTGGTCCATCACTGGACCAGGTGCCCGTCCGTAGAGCCACACAGGATTGTGTGCACATTGTGGGTAAGTCATGTTACGTTCATGACCTGCAGGTTTTTGAACACATCAGGTGGGACTTTAATCGACTGATACTTTAACTTTCCTCCCATGTTTATCTGTTTTGTTTTACAGTATCTGTAAAACAAGTGAATGATGTAGTGATGTTGATGGCAGGTTATGCTACAGGTGTCATGGTTGAATATTATTGTGCATTGAGTGTGTGTGTGTGTGTGTGTGTGTGTGTGTAGAGGGTTATAGTCTCAGCTAGATCACACACACACACACAGGGTACGGGGCAGAACAATGGGCGGCTTTGACTGGGCTCGGCTGAAAAGGGGAGATGGGCTGGATCTATTGTGTCCTGTGTTTACTTGCAGACTCACCTGGCACTGAGCTAATAACAGCAGCTCTATCTGTCAGTGTCACAGGGGTCTCAGCCCCCACACACACACACACACACACACACACAGAGATTAATAGAGAAGGAGAGAGAGAGACAAAATGAGAAAGAGAGGCTGGAAACCAGCAGTGAGCAGCTTCATGTAGTGACAGAGAAATACATGTATTATTATTGTACTGTTGCATTAGAAAATGTGTCATTCCAATTGTGTGTGTGTGTGTGTCTCTGTGTGTTTCTGTGTGTGTGTGTCTTTGTCACACCTGGGTGTCCAGGGAGGTTTTGAGTAAAGAGGGTTTATAGAGTAGAGAAAAGAGGAGGAGGAGGAGGAGGAGGAGGAGGAGGGGGAGGGATCCCTTAGGTTTTTACTACTGTGTAAACACACACGGACACACACACACATACACACAAAGACACACACCACAGTTGATGGGTTTTGATGGGATCAGTTGGAAGCCCCTGAATGACCCTGCCCCAACCTCGCCCTTGTTTGACCAAACTGAGAGAAGAGAGTGTGTGTCCACGTGTGTGTTGGTGTGACCCTCTCAAACCATGAGGGTCAGACCTGTTTTTCAACGTGCAACATTCACTTTATCTTGTTATTTAAAAAAAAAAACAACAACAATCCAAAGTCAGTATGTGGACAAAACATTTTAGGGAGAAATATTTATAAAGTGACATTGACTGTCATGACGTTGATAGTCATAGATTAACATCCACACATCACTAACAATAAAAATAAATAAATAAATAACAATAATAATAATATCTTATATTTACAGTAAGTATTATTTTCCATACTTAGTTGCTAGAGTTGCACAATAATATAAAGTGAGGGATAAACAACGTTTTTACGCTGAGCTGTCCGTGTGCTGAACAGAGGACCTCCTGTCTTCCCACACTTCTGATGACATAAGGGCGCCATTAGCAAAGGGGAAGCTAACAGGGGCTAACACAACATGTCCTCATCAGTCAGGGAGTGTGTTTTACTGTGTCACAGAACGACAACGCTTATACCTCATAATACAGTACGTCTTCACCTGAAATTTCAAGCTTCAAAAAGTTTTGTTTGTTTTGTTTTTTTAATTTCAATTCAACTGATAAACCAAGTGAGTATGAAGCAGCCGTAGACACTGTTAGCTAGCATGGAGGCTAAAGCCTAAAAGGTTCAAGAAGTTGCCAGTGATAAGGCTAAGGCTGCGAAAGATTAAAACACAGGAGCCGTGTGTTAAATATATGTTCAGCTTTAATATACTGTGGTTTGTTTTATTTTTATTTTTTTTGTGTGTGTTTGTTAAGGTAATACAATATAAATAAAATATTTGTGTATACCAATAGTTTTGTATGCATTTAATTTTAATTTTTTAAGGTCTCTTTTGTTTCCTGTTTGTGTTTTTCTAAGTTTCGGGAACACTTTAAAACCTGAAAGAATTATTATTATAGTATTTACCGCAGGTCTATTTATTCCTGTTCCTATTGTTGATTCCACAGTTGAAAACGTGTTCCAAAATATCCAGCTAAGAACAACTGTACTTTGAAATTGTGTTGCTGCGACTGACGTTAAAATGTCCACGTACCTCGCTTTGAATGTCACTGTGGACAATGAGAGCGGTGCCAGAGGCCGGGTCTATTTCACAACATTACCTTTACCTTAGAAGTTCAGACTCATGTTAAACTGTCTGTGCTTCTATGGTTCACTCTCAAGGCTCAAGGCCTGGCCAGTCAGGAGCAGGGCCAACCTCCACTGATAAGACCTCGTTTTTTTTGTTGTTTTTAAGCTCGGGGCTTGGCACCATTCCAGCTGATATCACTCAGGGCATACCTGCTGCATTAATGATTGGTCAACTCTGCCTCCTGCCCTCACGCACCATCATTTTAACATGATTTTTTTTTCCTTGTGAATTGGGCTCATGTACATCTAACACAGATCAGATACAGGATTCGTATTTGTTATGAAACCAACTGTTGCAAAGAAATAAATAAATAATAATTTCATGATTTCCTACATTCTTAGGAGGTGAGACGGTGTTAGTCAAACCTGCAGTGGCACTTAAACAAATCAAGCAAACCCTTATTAACCTCAGTCAAACTGACAGGCAAACGCAGCCAGGCGGTTTATCCACAGTGGCATCTGTTCACAGTTTATTGCACATCACTGCACAGCCATCTGATCACTACTGCAGGAGTGGGTGTAGACTGTCCTGCCTTTTGATCTATCCTTGTTTCTGCAGCCACAGAAAAGGCTGGTATTAGGTAAATACAGATATTATTGAGTGGGACTGCACAAAACATTGAATGTTTTGATTGTTTCCTTTATTAATCAATTAGTTCCATGACTGGGGAGTTTAAATCCCAGGCTCGATTTGAAATTGTAAACACAATCGGGGGAAACGCTCTTCTTTGTATTCTTACTGGCATCTTTAGATACAAGACAAACATGAACAAATTCAGCAACCAAAAAAGAATTAAGACCCTAATGTAGAGTCGGTTGCTCCATCTTCTTCATATTCAAAACAACATATACATTTTTAAATTAAATTTATCACAAGTTGGTTTGTTAAATTAAATAAAATCCACCAGACTCACTTTTAGGGCAAATATGTAAATAAATGAATGAATTGTAAACTAAATAACACAGGGAATTGCATTGTGAAGCCTAATTTTCATAAGTTTCACAATACAAGACAGTAAAGATACGAATTGACCTTGAGCCAAATGAAAAGCTTAATGTAAAAAAGATGACAAATCCAGGCAGAAACATAGCAGTGAATTTTTTTTTAAAAACTGCCCTGATATTATTTTTACCTCAATGGAAGTTCATTTAATAAGTCCATTCTGAGAACCATGTTTCAGCCACAGAAAGTCCCACAATTAGAATAAAAAGAATTTAGGTGACGTCTTTGAAGAGGTCTGTTGTACGCTCATGCATCAGAAACAAAAGCAGTTCAAATGTACAGGACACTGTGGCAAATGTTGGAATTTTGTTCTGTCAATCTTTCCATGTTTCATGTTCTCTCTGTGTGGGTGGGTTTTCTTCATGTACTCGGGTTTCCTCCCACAGCCCCCAAAACAGGCTCATCAGAGGATTAGGTTGATCAGAAACTCTAAATTGACCATAGGTGTGAATGTGAGCGTGAATAGTTGTTCATCAGAGTTCATTATTATTATTGTTATTGTTGTCGTTGTTGTTGTTGTTAGGCTGTGCTTCTGTAATCCTGTGTTGTTTGATCATATGTGTGAAATATATAATATATTATGTGACCAGTATCTCTGGGTCCAGCTCTGTCCGGTATCACTGACTCGTCAGTACCACAGCTGAGACTGAGGGCCGCAGGTCGGGCAGTGACCTCGGGGCTGTCTGGACTGGATAAAAGGAAGTCCTGGTTAATGAGTTACAGCGGTGATGTGGTCTGGCGCTACAGGTGGGGTGGTGTGAGGGGGTGGGGGTTGGACAGAGCGGACACTGATAAGAGGGAAAGATAGAAGGCTGACTTTTATGAGGATGCAGGTAGCAAGAGAGTGAAACAGACTGGAGCTTTGTTGTCTAAACACGTATGAATAAAACTGAACAGGGGCCTCAGTGTGTACTAATATTTTACTAATGACTCTGTTAATTTTTAATAGTTGTGATGTCGAGCAAAGCAAGGAACACAAAAGAAGAACTAAATAAAAAGACAGAACATTGAGTTGCATTAGTATGTAAAATAAAATGGAATTAAAATATCCCCATTGTTTGTGTTTAAGGCAAATTTTGTTGACTTTGACGGTTAATTATTCTTTAAATGGGAAAAAAACAAACCAACCTGCTGGTTTTAGTAAAGTAAATTTCACTGTATTTATTTCCATCTGGCTACTTTGTTTGGCTTGGTATAGCTGGTGCACAGATGAACAGATCCCTGAGAGTAGCTAGTTAATAGTTAACAGTAAAAAGAAACTTCTTTTTTTTTACATTAGTAAAATGCATTAAACAATGACTGTCCCATTTTTGCATTGTTTCTAGTCAGAGAAAGGATGAATCTAAAGGACTTTCAAAATAAAATGAGCCCCAAAAATTCTCATTTCCAAAATATTTCAATGTAACACTTTCATATTTGACAAATTGACAAGACACAACACATGTTTGGATTGGTGAAAAATAGTATTAAACAGGACAAGGAAATAATTTTATATGTGATAGAGACAACCAATTTTAATAATAATTTTATATGTGATAGAGACAACTTTAACATACATGTGTCAACATGTTCATGTGTGACATCAGCTCTATACCAAAAGCCTGGTTGTAGACAAAGAGAACCTGCATCTGTGGTGATTAGTAGGACTCTGTAGGCATCATTAGGAAAGGTTTTTGGGTTAATGATCAGACAAATAGAGAAGTTAATATCTCAAATAAACATCTTTCCGTTCTATAGTTATTCTGGTTAATTCTTTTCCATACATTTTTGGACTCAATCAACCCACTGTGGGTTGGAATGTGACAGAGATCCACATTGATCTAAGCACAGTCAGGTAAAGAAGTTAGGAATACCACTGATAAGACCCCCTGATACTGACCTGAAAGGAGTTTGCCATGGCAACCACCGTCACCTTTGACCCCAGCACTTTAGCTATACTTCCTCATTCTACAGAGAGTGAGAGAGGAACAAGACTGTGTGTAAGATTAGCATCAGAGTCGGAGTCAGGTATCAGATCAACAGTGGGTGAAGTCATCACTTACTGTTCGTAATTTTGTTGTATTACAGTACACGGAGCACTGACTCCATCAGTTCAATCACTGTCCCTCCATCAGACAGATACTTCAGTAATTCCACAGCAAATAATCTGGAGTGTTTGGAATTTAATACAACTGAGTTTCACTTTTTTCACATATAACATTGAATTAAAATGTATGCATTTAGCAGATGCTGTTATCCAAATCAACTTACAGGAGGAACATTAACATCATCAGCTGTTGTATCAGGTTCTAAAATACAACTAAGTTACTACCATCATGTATGATGTTTAAATGTATTTTAAATATCTATTCTAACCTATGCATGTAGGTTGGAATTTGAAACCTTTCAGTGGCCAAATCTTGTTTGTCCAAACCACAGAATCTGGAGCCTCTCATTGAGCTTGGACTCCACACCTTGTGTTTCTTGAGTCTTAACTAAACAAAGCAGCACTTTGAAAAAAACAACAACGCAGAGGAAATCCTCTGACCTCGTGGCCAGGGTTTAAATTTAGGGCCAAAAAGCTTTAAAATTTGAACTAATGAGGATAAAGATGTACACCAACTCCCTCCTCCTCCTCTTCCTATTTCTCTTCTTCTTATTTTTTTCATCTACTCCACGTCCCTTGTCGTGCACAGACCTTGCTCGACCAGAATGGGTAATGAGTAACCTGCTCCAGCTGACCTGTACCACCCACTTCTTCACCTCCACTCTCCCACACAATGACTCAACAACAAGACCCCAAAGTTCATCTGGACACTAACACTGCATACATAATGATAAAAAACAAACAATAAAAAAAAACATTTGTTTGTGGTCAACAATTATGGTCCAGTTAGAAAACAATTTGACACCTAAGACTTTTACTTTACTTTAGCTCAGGTCTATGTTGTGTTGTAGCAATCCTTACATGTCATGTGCTTCATGAGTTCTTCATTAAACTTTATGTGGACCAATACGGCACATTATTTCATTTGAAGCAAGTTGTAAATTAATCAATCAATGAAAAATGTTTTTTTAAAAACCCTGTCTGCTACAGACCCTCAGACAGACTCCATCCAAATGCATTAAACCACGATGTCTTTTATCTCTTATCTTTTTTACAATCCCAGACAGCTTGTAATACATAGGCTACAACTGCCCCAACTTTACTGCCTCCTCCACCCAACAGTTATATCCACTTGTCCCCAAGCAGCTTTTTAGATTAACCACCCCTGTCGTCTTTGTCGCTCAAACCCTCTGTCTTCCTTTAATAGCTATTCCATTCTGTCACCACCACTGAGCACACAGGGCCCAGCTTTTATTTTATTGGGCAAAGAGAGTAGTGCGGGAACCTGTTTGAAATTCCAACTTTTCCCAAATAAATTAAGCCTGTCATAATTAAAAACCAATCCATTTCTATAACATTACAATGTTTTTGGATTTAAAAATCCACCTACAGAACTACGTATATATAGAACAAACCCAGACATTGTTGTTGTTTTGCACACATTATTCTACACTGACAAACAACCACTCGCACTAAGAATTATGGTCAACTGAGTTTGTTCAGAAAGGACAATATGAATGTTTTGGGAAGGTAACTGGGGTCACTTATCGCCTCTGAGGTCAAATGTTAATGAAGTCAACATGTTTCCCAGTTGTTTTGCTTATGTTATGTTTTGCTGTGCACTTTGTCAGCCTCCACCAGGAGCTGGACTCCATGTTCCTCTCTTTCCTGTAGCTCTGCCATCTTACCCAACACACACCCCTCTGTCCCTGGTCACTGGGTCCAACTCAGGCAGTGGGGGAGGACTAACAGAATGAACTGGCCCAGAGTCAAAATCAATTGCTTCTTGTCTTGTCTGCTTTTGAGTCAGTGTTTTTGAGTAGTGGCCCAAAAAAAGTTCTTTTACTACAGGGTCAATCTCCTAAATGTTTTATGTGATTTGTTGTAGTGATGCCTTATTTATATATATATATATTTGTTTTTGTGTGCAGCAACGTCACCTGATGTCGTGCATCAAGAGTTACGCAACTCTGACTTCCAGTAAAGCTTTGTTGTGGTGCACACTGCACTGGGAAAAACGACAGTAGATGTGGAGCAGGTCATGTAGTGTTGACTTTTAAACACTCCTTTTCCTTCTGTTTTTAACGAGCTGTTAACAGGGACAAACCTGACCTCAGGACTGTGCACTTAAATTTACAGAAATGCATGTAAAGTTATATATTATGTTTTTAGGTAAAGGCCTGGAAAAATGCAAACGGCCTCTCACAGTGTCAGTCAGCCTTTCAGCAGTCATCAGGGCGGGGCCTGGTTACCAGCAGGTAGAGCAGTTGTTCCGCTTCCTTCTCCACATCCTTTAACGGTACAGGTGACAGTCTTTCCTAAGATCCTGGAGGGTGTGTGCGTGTGTGTGTGTGATAGAGAGAGAGCGAGAGAGGGAGTGGGGTGGGGGTGGGGGGGATTGATAGAGTGACTATTGCAGCTCAGTGCTGCAGTACAGAGCAGGACGTCATGAGTCACTGTGTCAGGTACAAACCTGAGGGCGTCAACCTGCAATAATCAACTGTTAGTAAACATACAGGAACCCATCAAAGTAATGGAACACGATTTTAATTTATCTGAATAAACTGGATGTACTGCATTTCTTTAATTTTCATGTAGACTACACAAGCGTACAGCACAAAAAGAACAGTTCAAACCCAAAATGCCTTGTCAAAAGACAACAGGCAAGTCCAAACAAATTCAACTGTCTCCCCTAAAATTATTAGGATAAAAATGCAATTAAAATATAGATGTTAAATAATGTTATTGTTCATCACTGTTTAACAGTATTTAGTACATAGAAAAATTTTGAAAAACGTTTCCCCTGCCACTTGACAAAGGTTTTTCATCATCTTACTTTGTAAAGATAGAAACAGATTAAGTTAGGAAAGAGCAAAGCAGTTTAGACTTGCTACAATTTCAAACAGCAACTGCAAACAACAATGAATAAGAGCTCCAAGTCATTAAGCAAAATAGATTTTTAAAACACATTTACAAAAAGTCTACAATTTAAAGATTACCAGATGAAAACCAAAATAAGACTAAACAATGTATCACAGTTGTGATGACCTGCTCCGTATGTTACGTGTGTTCTTATTGATGTAAACTACACTAATACAGATTTGTACTTCGTTGTACAGTAAACAGTTGACATTCTCTTAGATCTACATCAGAAACAACAGACTTCAAGTTTGTTGGTTGGCCTTGAAGCAGCTGTAAACACAACTGCAGCGAGGTACAGTACGTTTATGTGGAAAAAGCAGAAGCGCTGCTGTACAGTGAGTCACGACATCCTGACGTTGTATAACACACCTGTGGGAAATTCAGTTTCCAAGAGGAAAACAATATAATCCATGGTTGCTTAATCAGAATTTACACTCAGGAAGTTCAAAAAAGCTGTCCACTTATGGCCTAACTTTATATTGGAAAAAATTACAATTTCTCCTTTTAAAAGAATATAGATATTTCCACCTTAAAGTAAACCTTGAACTGCAGTGGGAATAGGTTATCGTTGCCAGGTAACTGAAGAAAGCGTCACTGATCCTGAGAGAACAGGAGGGATGTCGACTGCGGAAGTGAAGCAAGTCACCCTTTTATAACCTAACCATAACTCTGTCTCTGCTGCTGTAAAAAAATAAATCTGTCTAGGATATTTTTGGCTCATCTCCATGGCTACACACACTCACACAGAGGGAGAGAGGAAAAAACACTTGTATGAATGGGCTGTTTTGTGGTCAAATTATGTTTTGTAACATAATTGTTGCTTACATTGTACTGGGCTAAAAAAAACAAGTGCTGTGTGTGTGTACTTAGTTATTCTTCATGTAAATGCTGTGAATGGTGGCACGCTGTGCATAAGACATCCAGCCTGAGGGAGGCATCCTTCCAGTTTGGCACTTATTGATATGTGCTTTCTATGGTGGTTTTTTCTTTAAGGGAAATTTGTGAATAAGGATTCCTTGTATAGACTGTGAATGGAAGGAACAAAAAAATGGTAAACGGGATGAGGTTAAGGTTAGGGTTAAGGTCATAAATGTTTATGGTGATGATTGGAAATAAGGAAATACGAATTAACACATCGTCAAAAAATGAATTCTATGTCGGTTTTATGAGGTGAAGGGGCGGGGGATAGCATAAATATACCATTAGCAATCATTATACTAACAAAATGTATTTTTTATGTATATATGTGTCTTTTTTTTTCTCTTCTTTTTAACCTGTAACCAGCTATTCCCTCGCGCACGGGAGACTCGGAAGTCTGTCTGTGCTTGCACTTTGCTGCCCCCTGTTGACCTGACTGCCCACTCAGATTCACTTTGTCTTTATTGTTGACAATCTCAAACGCATGTTTTAAGGTGTCTCGGGAGCTACAGCACCAGCAGTTTTTAGGGATAAATGCTAGTATTTACGCAACACCACTAAATCCAACACTTGTGTGTGAAATAGAGTTATGGAAGTAGAACATCGAAGATCCAGGAGCAGAGTTAGTGAAAGCCAGAAGGGAACGTTGAGATGGGGGCAGAGGACCAGCAATGACGACTGCTGAAGAACCAGAAGAAGTGAGTATTAAACGTAAATGTGAACTCGAGCTTCATTTCTCCAGCCGCAGCTCCGTTAGTAACGGCAGCGTAGCGTTAGCTTTGACAAAGGTTTGCTTTGCTAAGGCAGTCAAACACACGGAGCTTGTCTCAGTAAAGAGTGTAGTATTTGTATTTATGTAGTTGACAGTGGTAACTAGTTTACACACAAAACAAATCACTTCACTTGCACTGAGTTAAGCAAGTACACCTGATCCCGATCTGCTTCAACAATGCAGCAGAGTTAGCCAAGTAGTGGTCTTAGTATTCAAGATTTACCGAATGTTGGAACAGCTAAAGTCACTGTTTCTATCACAGGACAAACTCTTAGCATTTTGCTTTCAACAATAAACGTGGCCAACGTTTCAACGTTTTAGTTCAAGGAGAGTGTACAGTGTACACCAAGAGCTATTTTAGGCAGGTTCCATATGTTACTCCAGTTCATTTAGAAATTGGCTGTGTTTTGGTTGACACTTCCACCTTGTGCTTCTGTCTCTCTAGGAGAATGACTGACAAAAACAAAAGTACTTACTAGTGGTACTTACCAGTTGTCAAGCGTTTACTTTTACCTGCACCAATAATAAATATAGAATATTAGAACCTGACAGTGTTGCAGTGTCCAGTTAACAGGCGTTCACCAGTGTTCATTCTGCCCAGTCTGGAGTCACAGATATTGTTCTTCAATTATGTTAGAACCCAGCAATGTAGTTTGTCAAGTTGTTTTGTTTTTTTCTTTCACCGTTCTTATGTAAATAAACCATTTACTGTTTTGGAAGATTAGGAAGATTAGGAGGCATTTTATCTCTCTTGCAAACACATCTTGGAAACTAGCATCACTACATGCAAACAGAGTAGGCGATACAGAGTGGGAGAGGGCGACAGCAAACATAGTTTAACACAGATTAAAGTAAAGTTAAAACATGTAAGACTGGGGAACACACTGGTCAAACAAAGAAAAACTTAATGACTTCTCTTGAAGGGATATATTTACGGTAGCTTTAAAAAAATATACAATTAAACTAAAAGAACAAAAAGTTCCTCAGGCAACGCTAGGGGATGCTGAGAATATTGTTACATGTTCAATGAAACATGAATGTTTATTCAGGGTGAGATCTTGTTCCCAAATGATTGTTTATATGTTCTGTATACACGCAGCACTTGGAAGTGTTAAAATAAACTTCAAGTAAACACAGACTGGTCCCGTGTCAGCATTGTGTACTGTAGTATCTGTCAGGTACTGCTGTTAGGTTTGAACTACCTTATCATCTGACCTGTTATGAGCCGTTTTAGTTTTACTGTAAATAATTTACTCAATTCTAGCATTTAATAATGTTTAAATGGATATTTTGTATTTGTAAACTGCAAATAGCTATATTACTCCCATGCTGCTGGTGGCGCTGTGTACTCATGTTACTATATTATGGCTCAATGTAAAAATGAAAATTTTATTTCTTTGCAAATATTCAATTTTAGGAAATACAGACATTTCTCAGCAGATTGTCTATCACACTCTGAAGACCTGCGTGAAGTCGGCTCTGTTTTCTGTCATTGAACATTGTCTACCAGAAGCATCTGTGTTGCCCTCTTGTGATCTATTTAAAAATGGCCTACAGGATAGACCTAAGGGATGTATTTAGTAAGAGGTTTAGTATGTCTAGTTGTGATCTCAAAATTCAAGGATTAGTTCTGAGTTCTAACTGGTTTCTTTCTCTCTCTTCTTTTCCCTCTTTACTTTGTAAAAACTAGTATTTCTTCTCTTTTTGTGCAGCTGTGCAAATAACTTCAGGCATTTGACTTTATTGTTCATCTAATCCAGTGGAAACTGGCTGTAGCGAAGCTTAACAGAAACTAAGGAAAAATATTATATGTTTTAGGACCAAAGTGGAATAAAACAATTACATTTGGCCATGAGTTAAAATGGTTAGACCACAAAAATACCTAGTTTGGTTTATTTCTTATTCTTGATGTAGGCTAACTAGAAAATCTTGCCAAACAAAATTTCTCTTGTGTATCTTGCTCTATACTTCCTTCACAGTGTAGGGTTATCATGCCTGTTTACACATCTGCCCCTGAGGAACTATATTCTTGCTTCAATGGTGTTACCACAAGAATATTTTTGTTGCTTTTATTTATTTAATATATGATGTTTTGATTTATGTCTTATATTATTATTTATTTTAGTAGTGAAAAGATACTCAAACAGTAGTGCAAAAGCAACAGGAGTATTGCTGTAATTTGTTAAATTATTATTACAAAAAGTATGTGGCTTTGGCCATAATAATTGTGGCTGGGCTGCTTGATTATTAATTCGTTTTTATCGAACAGACTACTGTTAGTCAAATAATACCAAAAGTATTTTGTTTATCATGGTGAAAATTAATTAGTTTTGGGCTTTTATACGGATGTTACTAACTTAAGGCCTTTAGGTTCTCAGTTTGGCGACAGGTTTGTTTGTACCTTTGAAGGCCACACATCCGAACTCAACACAGATACCGCCAACGCGTGTATGTTTGTGAGTTGTTTTAGCATGTAGCGCTCTCTAGTGAACATAACACAAAAATGCAGAACTGCAAGTTTCTCTGTGTGACGTCTCAGACCCAACTCTTCTATTATTGGCTGTTCGGCTCTGGTCACATGACCAGATTCACTGCTCGCTCTGTTTGTTGCTAAATCGGTACTTCACAGCGCCTTGAATGACTCCGTTGTTTGTTTTTAGTCAAATTAAAGATACAAAAGACAAACTTTAGTTCTTGGTTTCGCTTTAGAAATAAGAGAAGAACCGAACCGAAACTGTTTTATGGTACCTTTGAAAACAGGTCAGTTTACTGTTTTGAAATGAATTGTGACGTTTTGTCCCTTTGTGGCGACGTTTGTTCTGTTACCCGAGCGTTTGATTGCAGCAGCAGCAGCGTGTTATTACCATAGAAAAACAGTTATATGGTTTATGGTGAACAAGTACTTCATGTTGTGTCATTTACTCTTTTGTGAACGATTACGATCAAAAGTTTCTTTTCTACAGGTCAAGTCCAGTTTAACCTTTAAACTGGTTTGTCATATTAGACCTGTCTTTTAAATGATGTTTGAAATCTTCAAACTCTGTCTTTATATCCATTTATATACTGACGATTCGAAATGGATTCACAAGAGAAACCCACTCATTGTTGACAATGGCACTTTTCCACGCTCTCTCTTCAATAGATTGTTCACAGTACTCGGGTCATGGTCATCACAGCAGATAGCACAGAAGTGCAGATCTAAAGTCATTGTCATCTGTGGTCTGTGTGTTTTCTTAAAGTCGTTGCAAATCTGGTTCCCACAGTAACCCAGAGGTTCCTGTTTTCCTTGTTCTTCAGTCTGTTTTAGTCTGATTTCCTTTCCACTGACTTTGTTTCCATCAAACGATTCAACTCTAAGCTGTTTTGGATAGAACTTTTCTCTAAATCCCTCCTGTTACTTTCTGTCATTCTAATATTAAACAGTGAACACTTTTTTAAAATAGAATAAATGTGTCAAGTCATGTGATGCTTGATTTTATTTGATTATTGATTATTTATTATTTATTTCCTTATTTTGCTTGATTTTATTTGATTATTTATTATTTATTTCCTTATTTTTTTACAAACAAATGTGATGTTTTGACTTTCCTGACCTTTGAGGTCAAACCACATTCATGTGATGTGAAGGAAGCTGAAAATGTTGTGTAATCTTCAATTACATGGGAAACTGCACCTTAGTTGAACTCGCGCTTATCAACCTGTTCCCGGGAAGACGGCTTGACTGATGAAAATTCCAACACTTCTGTTCAAGTCCAGATATCATCACTGATAATAAATGTTCCCATGTGCACTGCTCTAATAGATGGCACGTGGTTTATGTAAAGGAGAAGAGAACTCTTGTGATTCGCAGCTTGATGACTCCTTCCACTGTCAGCACTTAAGTTTTTACGAACTTCCCCTTTTCTGCCATAAATCACAGACAACTGAACACAATTGGTCGTGATTTTAATTATTAGTCTCTGACACACAGTCTTTTACTTGGATATTCTGTACAATCTGTATAAATGTGATGAATGTGTCCCTGTGCAGGTCATTCACTGTGTTCAGTGTAAAAAAAAACATCTAGAATCTTCTCTTTGTTAAGTCAGATAGAGACGCTCGTGCGTGTTCATTGTAGCCCCTTTTAAAGACCAGACAATGCGGTTTGACATTGACATGTTGTGAAATAGGTTTGTAAGTAAATATATATATTTCTGTCCATTGTTCCTGACGTTACTTCAGTGTCATATACAGTAGTAAACTATTACAGCTGCCAGTACTATAATAGTACTCACAACTTTGAATTTATTTATTTTATTTTTCATTTTCATTTTTTTTACATAAACTTACAAACACATCATCCCTAAATGTTATTTCTCTGTCTGGTTTCAGATCTAACAAACATCTTCCGGTGTCCTGTTGTCTTTCAGTATAAAAATGCATGTATCCTATAATCAGGTAAGATTTTAACGCCAAGCAAACTGACCGTCAGTTAATTTTAATTAATCGTTGAAAGTTGGTTTTAATTGATCATTGAAATTCAGTTTGAGGTTTCCTGCTTTACTCATGTCGTTTCTCACAAAACTGTAGCTTGAAGGGGAACAGGGCAGAAGACAAGACAACAGGAAAGAACTAATGGTATGTAACACAGACACACTGCAGAACAACTGCTCACAGTTGATGCTACAGTAGCATGCTTTATGTAGAAATGTATAAAGATAATTTGAATAATGTTTTATAAGTTGTTTTGAATTTTAAAAACTAACCAAACTAACCACTGAGAGTTTTTCCCTCGGGGTTTGACTAATTAATTTTTTCCAATTCTGTTTGTGAGTCTGATCTTCACCACTGAGAGTTTTTCTTTTTCCAATTCTGTTTGTGAGTCTGATTTTATTGTATAAAAATTCAACAGATGATGTTCAGCCTAATGACATTAAAAGCCTCTGTCTCCAGTATTCCAGGTGTGTGTTAGCACTGGCTACTTTAGCTACGATGCTGCTGACTGCCATGGCCGTCTACAACCTGCTGACCCCGAGGGAGAGTCGTTTCCATCCTGTCCCGAGCAGTGGTCAACGTCTGCCCAAGACTGAGTCGTGCTCCGACCCCTGCCAGTAAGAAGTCATCAGTGTTGTCATCTGTGTTCTTTTCTGATACTGAGCACAATCACTGATATTTTCTCTAGGTTGAGATGACAGAACATTAAATTAAGTTTGTTTCTTCTCTGTCAGGATTGTTGTAGTGGAGAGCATCCCTGAAGGTCTTGTGTTTAACTCCAGCGTCACACACCCTTCCATCTTCCAGGCCTGGCTCAGTCTGATGGCTGAGGCCCAGAGTAGCATTGACATTTCTTCATTCTACTGGACGCTCACTAACAAAGACACTGGCACTCAGGAGCCCACGGCTTACCCGGTCAGCAGGAGGTGTCAACCTCTAAACAGCTGCTGCCTTCAAGTAGTGTAGTCAACATATGATTACCCTAAATGTTTGCTTTTTTTTTCTGTCATCTGAACAGGGTGAGACCATCCTGAAGGCACTGGGGGAACTCTCAGGGAAGTTGTCCGTTCGTATCGCTGTGAATTTGCCACAAGCGACGCAACCTAAGGAAGACCTCCAGCTGCTGACTGACTCGGGTAAGGACGCTGAAACTTTTGTGTATACAGTTAAGAAGCAGGAAACAGTAGAAGGTTATTTGTTCCTCTGTCTTTTAGGCTTTTGTTCATTGTTTTTTTTGTGTGTTTCAGGAGCTGAAGTCAGGACAGTTAACATGAGAAAGCTCACCTCAGGCGTCCTTCACACCAAGTTCTGGGTCATAGATAAGAAGCATGTGTACATCGGCAGTGCCAACATGGACTGGAGGTCTCTCACACAGGTACATACACACACACACCAATACACATTGTTGTGTTTTCACTGAATCCTTCATTATGGATGAAAAGTAACTCTGTGGTGTTGACATCCAGGTGAAGGAACTTGGTGCAGTGATCTACAACTGCAGCTGTTTGGCTGCAGATCTGGGTAAGATATTTGAAGCCTATTGGTTCCTGGGGGAGAGTCAGTCCATCCCATCCCCATGGCCTAACAGCTTTTCCACACTCTACAACATGGACACTCCTCTCCAACTGCCACTCAACGGCACTCCTTCTGATGTCTATTTAACGGTTAGTTTGTGTGAAAGTAAATTTTATTAGCCTTAACTGACAATAAAGTATTATTATTATTCTTTTATTTTATTATTTATTTTTATTTTTATTATTATCTTATTATTCTTTATTTTGAGCAGAGTTCCCCACCATCCCTGTGTGCAGCTGGTCGAACCCCAGACCTTCGATCTATCCTCAGTGTCATCGAGGATGCACAAAGCTTTGTCTACATTGCCGTCATGAACTACCTGCCCACCATGGAGTTTTCACACCCTAAAAAGTAAAAGTCCTTCACTACATCTGCACACTTTATTTCTAACACACTTTGCTTGTTTTGTTGGGGTTTTTTCTTATTTACCAGAACGTTCACTTTGGAGGAAACCCAGGTTCCTGGTAGCTCCAGTGAAGTGTATTTAACTCACTATTGTATGTTTTAGGATATTGCTCTAATGTTGGACAACTTCAAATGTTGGCCATTTACCTGCAGGTACTGGTCTGACATTGACAACCAGCTGAGAAGAGTGGCGTACGAAAAACGTGTCAGAGTTCGTCTCCTGATCAGCTGCTGGGCCAGTAGCCAACCTGTCATGATCCCCTTCCTCAGATCACTGGCCTCGGTCTACGAGCCCAAGAGTAAACTTGACATTCAAGTGGTGAGTCGCTGCCTTCTTATATTAAAGTTCTTAAAGAGAGTCAGTTGACCGTTCATGTTTCGATGTGTTTGTTTTAAAATGAGAACCTCACTGCCTCATTTCCATTCGTTTGTTTAACGTATTTGTCAATGTCCAATCATAATAACCGAAGACCAACAAAGGAGCTCTTAACAAAACTGTTTGTGTAAAGATTGGAGTTTTCATAGACAGGTACATGATACCTGTTTATTAAATCAATATATAAAAATGCATGGTCTAAGTACAGTAACTGTTGCTCATTCTAAATGTTGTCATATTCAGGTAGTTTAGGAACAATGAGCTGTGAAGGATAATCATGTACTTTTATTAAACCAATGACTAATTTTCCCACCCAACAGAGGCTGTTTGTGGTTCCTGCCAGCCCAAAACAGAAGGAAATACCCTTTGCCAGAGTCAACCATAACAAGTACATGGTCACGGACAAGATAGCTTATATTGGTGAGACTGCAGATAATGTGCACTTACATTTAAAACAGTTGAAATATTTTTTAACATATGTTGAAAACAAGTTTAAGTTACTTTCAAATACTACTGTCGTTGTAATATTGAAGGACTCACCGTTGACAACCAACAAGAAGCCTTGTTAATACTTTGTTGAGTTTACTTTCTCAAAAGGACTTGATTGCTTTACTATATATATATATATATATATATATATATATATATATATATATATTTGGGGTTTTTTCTGATGTTTTGCCTGACAATACCTTTGTAAAATGGCTTTCTTTTAAAAGGAGTGGTAAATAGACATCAGTGTCATCTGCGTATCTGTGTTTCCAGGTACATCCAACTGGTCGGGTGACTACTTTGTGCACACTGCTGGCTCAGCATTGGTGGTCAACCAGACCGCACAGTCTCAGTCCACAGAGCCCACTGTCCAGTCACAGCTGCAGGCTGTGTTTGAAAGAGACTGGAGCTCTGACTACAGCACTCCCCTCACACAATACTCCGACCTCAAAGACTTCTGTTAGTATCCACTAATACTTGACAGGGTTGTCGTGGCACATTCATGTTGTCAGAATCATACGAACTGCCAGGGTGAAAATATGGAAAATGAAATGAAACAGCAAGCTCAGCCATACAGTGAATCTGACACAGAGCAGTGGAGATTTCTCTCACTTCTCTGTTGAAAGGAAAATAAATGTTCAGTCAAAGTGATTACGATGTCAATAAAGATGAAATGAAATATTGACAGTAGTAATTACAGAAGTAGAGAAGCATGATTGATGCATCCTTTGGTAAACCTTGTGTAACATCTGCATTAAGGCACTAAGCAGATATACAAATACTGATTTTGGATTAATCAGGAATATCAAGTATATATATAAGTATAAATACATTACATTTATAATGTTTGGTTTGGCATCAAGCAACTAATGGCAGTAATTGTGAACTTTAAACGATAAGTCAAGCTAGTCAAGCTTAAACACACACACAAACTTGTTCTTGCCTTTCTCACTTCCCTATTGAGATAAAGAGGTTTCCTAGTTTTTATAGACAACAAACATTTTTATGTTAGCTGACAGCTGATTGGCTGTTGGCACTGAACACTGGACTCTCAGATCAACCTATAAATCTGATCATGGTTTTACTCGTTCTCTTATTTTAATCCTTCTGATCAGCTGCTAGTGTTTCACATTGCTTTCTGAACATGATGCTGTGTTGATTTTACGCTATTATACTTCAGTGCTGTATTTGTCCACTCAGGGAACGCAGGCTGTGTCAAAGGACCAGTCAAGATTTTAAGGAGACCTGGAGACAGGCTGGGTGTAGATCACTACTTCATCGAAAGTATTCTTTAGATTAAAGGCAATCAATTGTGTATTTGTGGTGTTATACAGTATATGAAAACATTTTTAAATATATTGATTACATTTTTAATCTGCATATTTGTATGGACTAATTGTTCTGGGGTGTAATTAAGGTGTGGCCTCGTAAGAAGATAATGTAATCCATTTTATTACTTATTCACTTTAAATCTTGTAAACCAAACTGTTTACTCTTCCATTCATTTAGTTAATTTAGTGTTCCCAGAGTTTCCACAAGGGGGTGCGCAAGATTTAAAAAATGCAATGGCGGTTTGGAGTGTTTTTTTTTAATTATTTTTACACTCAGTAAAGGACGTGTAAGTTTTTGGGGGGGATTTTTACACTCAGTAAAGGACGTGTAAATTAGCATTTCCTTTGTAAAACAATTAAATCAAAAGAATAGTATTATTTAAAAAATTGAGGCTTTGGACATGTGTGTTATGTGTGTGTTCTTATCATTTGAACATGATTAAACAGGTGCGGATATAGAAGGAGGTGCGCAGCAAAAAAAAAGGAACTGCTGATGTGATATAAATAAAGTAAGATGGAGTGACTAGAAAAACGATTTGTTGTTTGGGAATTGTTCAAAGTGGTATGGTTTACATGTTTACATTTCTAAATGAATTAATAGTTATAATTTATTATTTTGTAGGTCACATTTACATGCATTCACCCATATGTTTAAATTAGTTTAAAAACGTTTCTTCGTTAAGTTGATCTTAATAATAATGACTGTGAAGTATAACCTTTTTGTATTTGATTTAGGTATTAAAACATGTTGTGTGATTTTACGCTGGAGAAAATACAACCTGAAATGATCCTGTGAATATTTCATCACTGAAGTTTTGATTAAATGGACCAAAGTTTGCCTCTTAAGCCTAAACACAATGATCTCTTTGCCCCGATTTAAACATTGTGTCGTGCTCTGCACGTCTATTTGGTGGTCACTACTACAGTTGAATCCTCAAAGATCCGAGGTTGAAATCAGTTTTACCCAAGGGGACACTTGGTACACCAACCCTGACAGGGCAAATGGTTGAATGTTAACGATTGCAATTTGCTTTTAACTCGTTTTCTTTCTTTCTTTCTAATTGAATCTTTTAATTGTTTTAGGATTTTTACAGTATTTTCAAGAAATTATTCAAAACAACGGCACTTTTGTCTTCTTATTCTCTCAGGAATTTCTTTGTAGGACCTAAAGAAAGGAGCTCTCTGTGAAGGTGACAAGGACGATCCTCTATCGGTCACACGTTCCTCTGACCTTGCCTGAGGCTGCCGGAAGAGGGCAGCAACTGATCCACTGCAGTTACTGGCAACCTGCGACCAACGGCCAAATATGAGAAATATATATATATATATATATATTTAAAAACAGGTCAGTTAGCAAAGTCAGTTTTGGTCAGAGTGA